CATTTGCCATCCCTTGACGAAGTGTAATGTAAAGGGCTGTGGTAACACTGCTCTCAAAGAAAAATTTATTAGGACTGCATTGATTGGCGTTGAGATGGAACGGAGATGGACAGTGTTGGGTGCGGTTGAGAAATTCAACGGTTAGGGTACGAACAGGTGGTGGTAGGGATGTGAAGATTAATGGCTCAAAAACGTTCCATGGTTTGAAGCTTGAACGCTGATCCTTAATTTTTGACTAGCCCTCATTAGTCCACAACAATGTGAAAGTCATTGAACTATCGAGGGTTCTTCGAGTCGATTCATTTGTGAAATGTTCACGAACTTTCTGGGAACCCTCCTAATAGGAGAAACGATTGCGACGTAACCACTATCCCCTTACAACCCCTTAACATCTTTTCCATAGTTTCCAGAAACTACCCGAGAGTCAACTTTATCGAAAACTGCTTCGAAAGATAACTGGAATGAGAGTAGGCGGTAAGCCCACTTGCCTGGTGATGGAGAGCTTTGCAAAGTTCAAAAAATCCCATGAAATCTGCTTTTATAAGAAGCAGATGGTGATGAAATGGTTCCCCATTTCAATAATATGGGACTGAGTCACGTAGTTCGCAAGTGAACAACGAACGAGTAGCGGAAGCCATCAGTCACTGGGCTTCGTTCATCATCTGCTCCTATCACAGCGCCCACTAAATCCTTTGCTTGATCTCCTGGCGAAGAACAAAAGCAATCCTTCGGATTATCAAAAGCTTGGGAGCCAGGTGGGAAGGAACCAAGTGGGAAGGATCCTACATCTTCGCAATCTACATACTTCAGGACATCAGCAATGACTTCTTGACGGGGCATATAATATTCCGTGATTCTCGGCGGCTGTGAGGGACTATTACACAGCGCAACTCTGCAGTTGTTTCGGGGGCAGCCGATGGACTGCCAGAGGCTCGACGCCTGCTTTACAATAGCTTGGTGGGAGGAGCGATGGTGAAGCTGGATCGGATGGGCAGGCCGAAGTTGAGGCAAAAATCTCGGAGGACTACCAGAGGTTGTAGTCACTCACTAATCAACATGTATCTCTCTACCTTTCGTAATTCTCTTCATTTTGCTTTTCTTAACTCCTCTTTTCTAGGAAAACTTTTTTAAATGCTTGCGATTTTGTCAGCCCTCTGGGAATTCCGTTATTTGGTTTTTTCTTTATCAACCTGAACTGAATCTCTGAGCTTCTCGACAATTTCTGCACGTTCTTCTGTAGTCCTTGGGCTAAGCAGAGTCGTCGAGCGGTCGACGGATTAACTTAGGGTATTTGCAGGATCATCTGACAGTGAGTCTAATGCGGAGGTGGCTACTTCTGCAAAGAGGTAGCCACGATCGCTCCCAGTAAAGTTAAATAGTGTCTTGCTTGATCTCTCGCTTTACTAAAATAAAAGCATGTTCGCGGAAATACTCCACCGAGGGGCTTTTGAATCAA